TTAAAAGAATCATACCACAGTGATATATGTGCACCCATGTTCATAGCAGCACAGTTTGTGATAGCTAAAACTTGGAAACAGCCAAAATGCCCATCTACTGGAGACTGGATAAAGAAAATGTGTGTGTGTTTTTTTTGTTTTGTTTTGTTTTGTTTGTTTTTGTTTTTGTTTTTTTATAAAATGGAGTACTACTGAGCCATAAAGAATGAGAAATTAGGCTGGTGGGCGGGCTGGCAGCGCAGAGTGGCAGCAGCGGCGCCTGACAGACAATGAGGGCAGAGAGGTGGCATGGAGCAGTGGCAGCAAGAGCCGCAGGGCCTGGGGGCGGGGCAGGGCGCCAGCCATGGACAATCAGTGCACCACGCAGGTCAAGTTAGAGCTGGAACACCGCGCCCAGCTGCGCAAGAAGCCCACCATGGAGGGCTTCACCCAGGACTGGATGGTGTTTGCCCGAGGCCCTCAGCATTGCGAGATCCAGCACTTTGTGGAGAAGGTGATCTTCCGGCTGCACGACAGCTTCCTCAAGCCCAAGCGTGTGTGCAAGGAGCACCTCTACAAAGTGGAGGAGTTGGGTTATGCTGGCTTCATCATGCCCATTGAGGTGTACTTCAAAAACAAGATGTAGTAGACAGAAGTAGCTCAGGGTCCTGGAGGAATGGCGGACGTCCAAGTTCATCCAGGGTTCTCTTAAACTCATGCAAGTTTCAAACTTCATATAATGCCCCAAATTAAAAGTAGAGCTAGTGCACCTGGCAAAACAGACTTGTCTCCCTTCCTCAACTGACTCTAGATGAAGCAAGCACTCTGCTAAGAGGATAATATTTTACTAGCTATGGAGACGGGACTCCCTATGACCACATGACCAGCAGGGACCTTGGGTCACATGACAGTCTCTCTCTACCTTTTATCAATTCCAGAATACAAAGCAAGACAAATTTTACATTAACTTGCACTCTGAGTGTTTATTTTTACCATGGAAGGAGAAATTGCCTCAAAGCAAGCTTCGGTGTTAAGGAACTTGGATATTTAGCCAGTTTACTATAGAAATCTTAAGTTGCAGAAAAATATAACAATCTATGCTTGTTAAAAGCATATAAAGGTTCGCTGCCTGATGCGCAAGCGCAAGAACCCAAGTTCGATCCCCGGTACCAAAAAAAAAAAAAAGCATATAAAGGACTAAGTTTTACAGTTATGTGAAATTAATTTATGTGATTCTGAATGTCTGGAAATTTCGACTTCCTTAGACAAAGCAGTTAACCCAATGACAGTGTTGCAATGGTAATTTTCTTGGATAAGGTTGGGGGAGTCAAAGTGGAGAATATTTAGAATAATATCATCATTGAGCTTGTTGGCTGGCAGTGTTAGTTGTGAGTTTTCATTTTTGGAGATATGGAAATAAAATACTATCAGTGGGTTTAGTTTGCTTATATCAGAGTAGTGCATAAACTAAGATCAAAGTGGATTAAAGATGTAAATATTAAAACAGAAATACTAAACTTGCTGGAAGTAAGGTAGAACTCTTGAGGACATTGGCATAGGAAAAGACTTTATGAACAAAATCTCAGTAGCATGGGAACTAGCACAAAGAATCAACAACTGGAATCTCATCTTATTAAAAAGCTTCTGCACTGCAAGAGAAACCACCAACAGAGCTAAGAAACAACCTATAATGTGGGAAAAATTT